AGCCAGCTTGCAAGAATCCCGTGGTTGCAGGAATTGGATGAAAGAATCCATCGAATCAGCGTAAATTTAGTAGTGGTGAGAGACTGCTATTTTCTTCTCCAACATGCGCGCGCAAGACGCAGCCCTCATGCTTTCACTTTATCGTTATATACCGGTACGTGTCTCAGGCTGCGGGGTCCCTTCCCGATACAGGAGCTAAGGACTACAGGACCGAACTAGCATCCACTTTCAAAGGCTAGCTCTATGAGGATAGATCGTTACACCAGGTTGTACAGTGGCTAGTACAAAAAATAATAACCGAAGGTTATCACACGAGCACACTCTTGTAGGGCAACCTGGCGCCATCCGTACTGTATTACCTTTCCGCCTCGATCACCCCCACCGGTGCGGAATGTTGCAGTGGTTTCCGCGCTCATCCCCAACGCTCGTCAACTTTTGGTTCCACCGTTAATCTATTCGTAGTAGTTGATTCAAGGTAAAAATTTCTTAGTTCGGTCTGTTCAGAGCCAGAGGGTTCCCTTGGAGGGCGAGGGGGCAACTTCGGCTACCAAAAAAAAAAAGCCGAGCGAGACAGTATTTCTGTTATCCCAGTTTACCATCAGCACTACCAGCCCAAATCACCAAGTTTTTTTTTTTAATATAATGCCATAGAATATAAATTCAGTACGCAGCATTAACAATAGCGCTTTCAGTTAAGTCCAACTGACTTAACACTTACGACTTGTTGTTTATACCTGGCTCTACTGTTCACAGGGAAGCATACTCGTCTGGTGACAACACGACTGGATATAAAGACGATGCCATCTCTATCATGCTAGTCATAAGCAATCCACATCCGATACATCACGATGCAAAACATTATCGTATCAGTCTGCGATGGTGTTGTTGAAGTTATTCTATTACTCTTTCTATGAATCCGTAAGATAGTGAAGCATCGACTCGAACACGCCTTGCTCAGTTACCCATTTGACTCTGGAAGAAGGCTTTGAACTTGGCCACAATCGTGTTCTCCTCAGGCGTTGCTGTATCAACACCCTTCTTGAATATACGGGACATAACGTCCTCCGGACTGATGCCTTTAGCTGCCCATGAGGTAAATTGTTTCTTCTGCAATGCTGTAGCTTCATCGATCGTACTTGCCCTCTCCAAAAGCGACGCAAGCTCCCTTCTACTACCAAACTGCAGATTCAGCGTCTTGATCAAATTCTTTTCTCCCCCCTTTAGCTCAATGAACTTCACCAACGCGTCTAACTTTCGGCTAGTGATCGCTGCGCCCTCACTGGTTTCAATCTTCAGTAACGTAAAAACATCGTCAACTGTTTTCCCGCTTTCTTTCCAGCTCTTTACGTGCTGCGCCTGTAGTGCCAGCGCTAAAGGTCTTGCGAGGTCGTTGTCCATCACCGATACGAGCCTGGTCGCCACATCAGTGTCTTTGAAACTGTTCCTGTAGATTTCAAGCGCTGACTTTGCGTTTGCTGGATCCCTCTTGTTAAAATCGTCGACATAGTTCACGAACTTGTAAAACATATCGGGGGCGAAAGCATCATCCAGTTTATCGTACAGCTTGAGCCACTGAAAGACGTTTGCTGGTAATTGAGTTTCTTCCGTCCACTTGCTGATTAAAGACGTCTGTACATTCGTGGCCAAGTCCTTTGTACGGGGATCCCGCTTTGCAGACAATAGAAGCGCCCCCAGCTTGTTTTCATCGGGAACTCCTTTAACCAATCCGTTGACCAGGGTATCATAGGAATTCGCAGGAGTGAGGAGCTTGGCGTAGTCGTCCAGAACCACCAACTTCTCAATGTTATTCTTTTTGTTGCCAAGCTTCAGAAGCCTGGCAACATCGTCAACGGAGTTACCTGCATCCGACCACCTCTGCAATTGGCCCTCACGCAATGCTGTAAGATATCCTTTAAGTGTCGCGGACTCCGTATTCTTCTCTACATTCACAAGCGCCTTCGCAAGACCATCATCTCCGAACTTGGCGGTGAGTGTTCCAATCACCGAGACCTGCTTCTTGGGGCTCTTTGAGTTAAACTGTCGAACTTGTATGACCAAATCATTCAAATTCTCGCTTGTAAAGTAGTCATCAACATACCCGACTTTTTTCATTTTGGTAGCCAATTGAGCCTCATAGTTGCCCATGTTCTTCCATTTCTCGGCGAGTTTCGACACACCACCCTTGAATTTGGTTGACAGTTCTGACAACGCCCCCGCGCCGATCACTCTCTCTTCATCCTCATCGTAACGTCTCAACGACCTCCTAGGAGAGGCACCAGTTTGGTAACTGAGGGTACGGATTACGATCGGATTGACGGAGTTGGTCATCTCGAAGGAGGTGGCCGGCCCAATGTTGAGAAGGAAAACAGCAGCAACAAGGAGTGCAATCGAGTAGAGACGCATCGTTGCTGGGGCTTGATCACTGCTGGTTAGCGAATCGCGGAATGACTATTATAGCCGAGTGTCAATTTGACTTTTTTATTATTGATATACGGTGCACCTTTGCCACTTTGATTAGTATACGCACTTATCACAATGATGGTGACTCCCCTTGTTAGACGTCGTGGTGTCTTGCTTAAGATTAAAGAGGCTTTAATAAAGGGGTTACAGTCACAGATGAGCGTGACCGTATCCATTATGAAAGGGTATAAGCAATAGTGGGTTCTGCTATCACGGTAAAGAGACCAATATGTGGATAGTACAAGGATAAAGCTGATGGTGAACGCGATCCCGCGCACCATGTGCTATTTGATCATAGAAACGTGTTTCTACCAGACCACCTAAAGTTCTCTCATGAGCCCTCTTGAAAATGCCCCTCCATTATTAAAACGAGCAGATGAAGAAAAGAGTACATGTTTTGATAAAAGAAGAAGTAAGACCGGGCTGTAAGTATACTGTACATTGGCCAGATCGTTACTTTGTCACCATCATCAGCATCACTGTCAATATGAATAAAATCAATATCGTCATTGAACACATGGTAGATTGGGAAGCAGGTTGTCCAGTGCCTGGATGTGAACCGAGGTCCAGCCCTGCTGGAACGGAGAGATCCCGTATTACACGAGATTTCTGCTACAGCGTAAAAAGGTCGCTTCAAGTATATAAGGAAAAAGTAAAAAGTGGTAAAATCATTGAACATCCTAGACTTGTACGTACATTTTACACCTGTTGCATGAAATCCGTGGTTGCGGAGAACTCGTGTAATACGGTACCGACAAAGTTCCTGGTATTACTAAGCCTGAGTGTGAGCGTTTGAAAGTGCGCGTAGAGAGAGCAACAACCTACAATGCAACGAGAAGGACCGCAAGCCTTGCGGATGCGAACCCCGCGACAGTGCGAGAGAGCCTGTGAAGAGCAAAGCCTATGATCAAAAATGACAGCCGTCCAAGATTAGATGATGTTCAAAACACACAATACATACAAAAAACCAATATTAGAAGGCAGAAAAATATCGTTCTGTTTTCATAAAAGGAAGATTCGTATATGGGGGTGTTCATGAAAACGAGGTGCACCACTGTATATTTAAAATTATATCCATACGGCCCATGGCATTCGCGTCGTAATCACACTGGTGATTGTCCTGTTTCGGTAAAAACAAAAAACATCCACCGGAAGTACGTTGTGAAACAACAACAACAACAACAGTAGTTGTGCAATGCAAAGTAGGCGCCGGTAAGCATCTACTACTACTAGTAGTATGTGGTACCTGCAAGCAAATACATCCTTTAAACATAATGTATAACTTGTTAGCTGTTCACCTTGTGGAAATAAATAGCATTCCAACAAATGGATAGTACACGTTTAGTCACGGACGGTATGACCGCAACGCTTGCGGCAAGGTATTAATACATGCGGATGTGAACCCCGCGACGGTGCGCGAGAGCCTGTGAAGAGCAAAGCCTATGATCAAAAATGACAGCCGTCCAAGATTAGATGATGTTCAAAACACACAATACATACAAAAAACCAATATTAGAAGGCAGAAAAATATCGTTCTGTTTTCATAAAAGGAAGATTCGTAGCAGGGGTGTCACGCACGACTCTCATTTTTCAACGTTTATTTGGGGTTGGAATGTTTGCATGTTTGAGCAGCTAATCAAATAAAACGTTCACGCTTTACTAGAAACTGTTAGCGGCGCTCGCGCTCACAATGCGCTAGGCGGTGCCTGCCTGCCTGTCAGTCAGTGACTGAGCGCCACAAAGTGTACAAAAAAGCTCTTGGTGTATTCTTATTGGCTGTTATTTGAATGGCACCGATGGCTAGAGTCCATCCCGTACAGGTAGTTTCAGCATATTCACTTCGCCACCCCTTCCTACCTAGTGGTTTGGAGGTGATGATACTGTAATGACTGCATATAGGCAGGTAGCACCCACTTCACCGTGGTAGCAGTTAGCATCACGTATTCCTTGCGCCGATGCCAAGTGAAATATCACCGGATTTTGGTGCTAATATTGAGGTTCAGTTGCGGCCAATCAAATCAAATCTTCGGTGCTTTCTTTTTACAAATCATTTCAAACTTTCATCTCTTTGTCAAATCTTCCTGTTTTTGGAGGAAGGTTCGAGTTGAAAAGGACGGACTAGGTAGGTTTGATTTGATTGGCTGCTGAAACCACCTTCTACTTGACCAAACGAAATGCAGCCAAGCCAGCTCTTCTCATTTTGGATGACCATTTTTCTCACGTCAACGGCCGTGTTATTGAGTTCGCTGAAGCTAACCAGATCATGATCTTTGTCTTGTCGTCTCGCACGAGCCATTTCACGCAACCTTTCAACGATGCCGTTTTCTCAGCACTAAAGAGGGACTATGAGAAGCAACTCGAAGACTTTCCGTTGAGGCTCGGCCAACCACAGCCCACCAAGAATAACCTTGCTGCGTTGTTAACGAAAGCCTGGAAGGGCGCAGTGACGATGTCAACCTGCCTCACGGCATTTCGAAGAACACGAATCGTGCCGCTGTGCTTGGAAACGATGCTACAGAGCATTGTGGGGAAACCATCCGTCGTGACCGACCTCCCTCATGTTAACTACATTTGTAGTTTGCCCGATCCAACTCCAAGACAAGAGTGCCAACTTTAAAGGGGGTGTATTGACCACAACGCATTGAAAGCTACGTTTTTGGGGATGAAAATGATCTCCATGTTGGCGCCGAAGTCCCAACCTCCAAAACGGACACGGTCATTTGTTGATGGTGGTGTTCTCATGACACGACCGGAAATGAAAGCTACAGTACTTGAAGCTGAGGTACAGCGTCGTCAAAAGCTCGAAGGACGAGCTGCTAAAGCTCAGGAACGACTTGAGAAAAAAGAAATGCGGCAACAAGCAGCTATACTGAGGCAGAAGGATTACGCAGTACGGTGCTACGGCTTCATGTCGATAGCTAAGGAAGAAGGCCTCTTCGGAGGGAAGCGAACCCGCGACCTTGTTGCTGGGTGTCTACAGATAGCCCACAGCACTGTCACGACGGTGATTAACGCCTACAGAGCCGACAATGACACCAAGTTCGCGGTGCGCACCAGCATTATTGTGGTGTCAATTCCCTCACGCCGCCCTTCCTTGGTGACTGCTTTCCACGCCCGCAACCTCGCACGTCGTCGCCCTCGTCGACCTCGGGTCATCAACACGGCTCCTGTCTTCAACTTGTTCTCACACCATGTACGCCACACCTGGTGTACCCATATCACAAAAGATTCACCCAAGCCTTGGTCAAATACCGGACTCGAGTCCAGCACTCGGCCACTACCTCCTGGCCGGTCGGCGAGCCACCTGGACTCGGGACATTACTTTAATGTATAGAGATGGCATCATCTCCAACCCCACTCTACCTATACAGTCCGAATGTACATATTAACCGCAACAAAATGTTACTTATCCACCATTTAGATTGTTCGAGATAATCGCCACCATAAGATCAAGACGTCGAGACACGGCGTCAAGCATTTTATCTCGCCCCCGTGAATTATGCTGGGTCCAAAAACTACTGCCCAATTAATTCCGTAGCGAAAATGCATAAAGTGGAAATTTCGCTACGGAACTAGCGGAATTGGTTTGTGACGAGCCTTATTCAGCCTCGCACTTGGGACAAGCGTTTCCTCATATTGGCAGTTTAACATTAGTTGACATTGATAATTCGAAGGAAATTATGTAAATTTGCAACATCTACAGGCCTCTGCAAATATGGAAAATCGGACCAAGATCCCATTTTTTCTATGCTTCCAGCGCAGGGACATTCTTACCAAACCGCTGGAACGAACTTTCCCATTTCCCCTACAAGAATAGTATGAATTTGAAGCGTACCCTACGAAACCACTATCTAGAAATACGAAACTATCGTACTTGCTCCCAATCTGAAAGCGTCACTCTGTTACCAGGGAAACCTAGCTGTGGATGTCAAGGCGAAATGGCACCGATCATGATGACGCTACAACCTCCTAAAGGCAAGTCCAAGTAGTCGAAAGTAAATTTCAAACCGGAGCATGCTTCCAAGTACGGCCTCGTGATCACAGCGGCTGGACAAGGCAACGTTGCGTGTAGATTCTGCAAAGTATTCGGCCGTGAGACGAAGTCTATCGCAGATACGTCTAAAACCCCGCGCGTCAAACTTCAAGGATCACCTTCCGCACAGATCTTTATACTCAGCACCACGAAATTGAACACCCCAAAACATGGTTAGAGTTTAAATCGAATCGCTAGACCCGGACACCAAATTACAACTAGTTGTTGCCGTTGCTAAACTGTTTGTCAATGGGGCCAGTGGAATTTCTGCTATTACGGCTGAAAGGGATGCTGCAAATGCTGCGTACGACGACATACCACTTGTACTACCTCATCAACTACTGAGGATTGATATGCCTGAATTTGCAACAATCATAAAACAGCACACTCCCCGGCTCAGCAAGACTCTTGGTGCAACAGAAATACACCAGATTTCTAAGGAGTTTGTCAAGCTGAAGCAATGCTGCGAGGGTAGATATTTTATCGGGTCGGATACGAATAGGGCATGGTAATGGGGTCAGGCGTTCGAAATCGATCTTTCGGATGGTATATTAACGGGGTCTGATATTGGGATGTGGGGTCGTTATGAAACTACAGTGGCCGACTTGTTTGCTATTCGTTATGAAACTCCTCCCATTTATAGAAGCTATCGATTCCTAGCCATTTGTTCTTGCTGGTAACCACTTCTAACCTTTCAACACTTGTCCTTCGTCAGTTTAGTTCTTTCTTCATACTGGGCAGCAGAACAGCATCTACTACAACTAGTTCCGGCAGCAGACATGGCGTTCGCCGATCCGGAACCACCGGATCCAGCAGAAGGTATCGCCACAACGCCCTCCAGCAACAACGCCACACCAACATCCCTTCAGCAATCACAACCACAGCAGCAACGAGTGCATCACGAGCAAGCTGAAACTCAGACGGCAGCGCGACTGCCTCACACCGCAGCAACCCGACACGAGCGCAACATAAGCTCTATTAACATTGGCGGCTACCAATATACACGCGCCTGGTCATCACATCACAAAATCGTATACCGCTGTAGTCATTATCATGGGACAGGGTGCATGGGTAAAGTCGAATTCTTAGCTGCATCGATGGAGTATTTCAACATACCTGTCAGCAAGATCACGTGGTTGCAGCACCTACAGTCGATATATTGGAGCCAATGAGAGAGGCTGTCGACGATTTGGCTCGTAGCGATGTTGCTTTGTCTGCCGCTGCTATTTGGTCCCGTATCAACGATCAATTACGGCGGAGCTCAGAATCAGGCACTAATAGGAGTCACAAGAGAGCAAGTACTCAGCCAGGTATACCGTGTCCGTAATTGACACTTCGGTGGCAACATACACGGCCGCATTGAGATGCCTCCGATGTCACGCGTCAGTGGTCGGCCTTTGAACTTCTTTCAATTTCACTTTATTACCGGCTTCAACGACAGTGACCAACCAAGTAGAATTATCGGGTGGGCGCATCCCGAGTTAATTGCAGTGTTAAAATACGCGGGCACATCGTTATTTGTTGATGGCACCTTTCGTTGCGTGCCTCGTGGGTTTCAGCAGTGTGTCGTAGTCATGGTGCACGACAGGTCATCTGGAAAGTATGTACCGGTGTTTTACGTTCTCACTACCCACAGAACCAGGCCTACCTACAATTCCATGTTCCATTTTATTCGAGAAGCCGCCGACAACCAACTGGAGCCTACTGAGTTTGTCTGCGACTTCGAACGAGCTCTTATTGACGCTGTTGGCGATCAATTCCCAAAAGTTGATGTCATCGGCTGCTTTTTCCACTTTAAACAGGCCGTCCGCAGAAAGATGCGAAAAATTGGTATTTCCAATAGCGCAGCAAGTATAGCGATGGCAATGGGCGTACTTGACATGCTCACTGTTCTGCCTATCGACCAAATTGAGGGGCCCGGTATCCGCTGGGTGAAGCGCCAAATCAAGGAACGCTGTAGGGAAAATGGAGTTGCATATGTCCGCTCTAGGTGGGACATATTCTGTCGCTACTTTAAGCGCACATGGCTCGAGCTCTATGACCCTATTCTTTGAAATGTTCATGGACTAACTGAGCGCCTTGTTGCACGAACGAATAACCCATTAGAACGATTTAACCGAGAACTAAATGCTGCATTCTCGATACCCCATCCAAGTATGGCAATGTTCGTGGCCACGATCGAGGCTCTTGCGCGAGAGCACGTTGCCCTGTTAGACGCAGTTCGTGGCAGACGTGCTCGCGGAGAACAACGCGAGACTATTCAACTGCCTAGAGTGGTTGAGCTGTCGACGGAGTCTGAGGACTCAAGCTCTGATGAAGATGACACGGAGATGCAGGATTCGGACGCCGATAACAGAGACCAAGCCGATGCAACCGAAGACGCTGAAAGTGTAGTCACCTCGTCAGTTGTCGGAACGTGGTATGAGATACGAGGTGCATTCTTCATACTTGCACGAATCTTTTTAACTTCAATACATTTACCTGCTTTACAATGGTCTGATATCTGGTAGGAACTGATAATGCGGTCTGATGATGCATCTGACCTCTGCTTCAAGCCCTACCAGTATGTGACCTGATAAATAGATAACCGCTGCGAGCGGGAAGATGAGCTCAGCAAGGTTATCCGCGCTACTGATGACAACTACACTACCTTCGACCAAGCTTGGGCTATTGTGGGTGCGAAATTCCCAGTTTTGTGGTGACTTGGCCTCAACGTTCCCAAATATGTCTACTGTTGAAAGTGACTTCTCGATTATGGGATGGGAGAAAGATACTTACCGCCGTAGCCTGAGTAACCTCTCTCTAGAAGGATTTATACAAGCCAAGCAGTTCGAAGAAGTCCGGAGCCTATCTGCCTTACTCAAAAGCACTCTTAGTTAGCAAAATAACTGTAGCTCCACTTTTCCCAAATCTTGATATCAGGAATACCCGTATAATGCTTCAATACGAAAAAATAAGTAAATTCCTTATTTGCATAGGCCTGGTGTAACGGGGTTACACGGGTTT